TTTCCTGTTTGCATCAACTGAAGAGAAGGTCTTAAAGATTTCAAAAAAGTCTTGCTCACCTTGAAGCTTCTGGGATGACAGATCAACAAAAAGTCTTCCTTAAAGTTTTACTAAACCCACAACAATATATGCAGTAAATCATGCTTGTTATACTCACTGTGGAACTTAAGGGGTAAATCCTCTGCATTGTGTAAAAAGACTGTTTTATCCTGTCTTCTCTGATCCTTCCCTTCTTCCACGTTCCCCATTTCATCTGATAGAACAGAGCCTCGGGGACAATCTGCGTATGCTCAGTTTTGTGTACTGCTAGAGAGTTTTTTTTCTTTTTCTTTGGGAGAGTGCATGTGATCAGCACAGGGACAATCAGCACTGTTCAGACAGAGAGTCAGGGGTTATGCAATCTCATAGGGCAGTGAGAGGAGAATGAAAACTGTAACCAGTGCTCTGCCTAACACTGATAGAAGTCACAAGACTGCTCTAACTGCTGATGAGAAAAAGGTATTTAGCAGATTATATTTACTAAAATAATTGCATTTCCATGTTCTGTGTACTGTGGGAGACCAGATATAGTGAATGCATGGTCCTGGGTTTAGTAACACTGTAATTCCAGACCAGGGTTTTCTTGGGATAGCGAACTGATGGTTTTCTACTGGAAGATTAAATTGCCAAAATCCTGACAGTAACCCAACTGTTCTTGGTAACAGTGGATACCCTTCGGGAAATGATGAGACTCCTATCTCTTATTATTCCCAGCATTAACTTGGGCCTAACTGCACTCAAGAGCCGAGCAAATATTTCCTTTATCAGAAACAGGGTTTGGGAAAAAAAGAGATTTATTAGACTTAGTGGTTCTTCCTCTAAAGGTCAACCAGATGGTAAGTTGGTGCATGACTCCATTAAACCTGGCAGAAGGCAGACAGGTTCAGGTTTTTCCAATAAAAATTGATACAGATGCCAGCTCTTGGGGGAAGAATTATTCAGTCCAGGGTGCCAAGACTTGAAAGCTGATTTGGGCTTCTTTCTACCTCAGAGAACTGACAGCGGTAAAAGCAGCATTGTTAGCCTTTTAGAAGTGATCAATAAGCACAAGCTATTGAAATTTACTGGCAGTGGTATCAAGACGGCATACTTCAATCACCAAGTGAGCACCAGATCTTCCACATTGTTGAAGGTGAGAATGTCATATTCATTTCAGCAGTCCTCAAAAGATGAACAGGAAATCTGATTGTGGACTTCTGCAGTTAAAGCACAACTTGCTAGAGCAAAAGAGCATTGAACCAATTGCCAGCAGGTTGGGTATGCCTGCTGTAGGTCTATATGTTGACAAGACAAACTAACAATGGGGACACTAGTTCTGGGGTCCCCAAGAAATTCCTTTAATTTGCAGGGATTTCATCTCACTTCCAGTTTGACTATGGGACAGGAAGTGAAAGGAAATCTTCACAATGGGACACAAATGGTGAAATAAAATCTAACGAGTTATAACTCTCCCTTACTGTATCCAAAATGAAAAAAAAAAGTTTTGCCTTTAGTTCTACTTGAAGTTTGTCTCCGTTTCACTGGCATAAACAGTTTTAGGGGCTTGACATTTTGGGTATTTACTCAGTACAACCTTATCTTTTGTATCTTACCAAAAAATGGTAATGTGTTTGTGTGAATTAAAATTAACTGTAGTATATTAATTTGATAAACCGTTGTGCTAATGTCATGTTACAATAAAAATTGCAACTACCACCATTTTATTCTCCAGGTTCACTGTTTTCAGAAATGATACACTGTTTGAGGGTTTAACTAATCTTTAGTCCTAAATTGTGCCTTTAAACTAGCAAAAAATGAAAAAATGGCTCCAGGACTAAATTGGTTTAAGACTAACCTTTGTTTTTTCTTCACTCTTTTCTTCAGTCAAGACTACTCTACACTACTGCTCGAGATTTCCCCCCCACTTTGACCCTGATGGACTGGACATTGTGGGGCTAGCCTGGAAATGTTGTTCAGGCAGTTGGGTTTGTGTGGATGCTTTCCAGACTCAGTTCTGGTTAAGTTAACCAAGGAGTGCTTTCTGGGTCCAGAGCTGCTAGCATTGCCTGTGTGCTTGTCCTGTATCTGAAGGCTGACCTAATAAGTAAGCCAATCAGGCTGATCACCAGGAGCTCCAGCATTTTTATTGGTTGCTGGGCTTCAATATTCCCTGTTTCCTGCTGGCTTTACTGCGGAAGGGTTTAACTTTATGGCTCATATCATCCTTTGGGTTGATTGTTTTAAGTTCCCCTTCTCATACAGTAGTCCTCACTGCAAGGTTTGCTGCAAAGAGCAACATGGAATTTTGATCCATTCTTGCTGCCTGCATTGACGCTCTCCTGTTACCATCTGTGTGGATTTTGTGATTTCTTAAGGCCTTGCCTTTTACCCTAAGCTTGTTCATTGCCTATCCTCTCTGCAACATGTGATATTCTACACACAGTGTGTGTGTGCTTGGGAAGGGAGGGGGGTTATTGTGAAGGCACTCCTGTTAAACTGGGTACCCCTGGCTCCTAGCTGCAACCTACAGGCGTCATCCATTTCAGATTCAGTCAAACAATACCATGAAGAGGGCATCTTGTCTTGGGCAGTACCTTGTTAGCCATTTACATTCCAGACATAGACAACTGGCAGGCAGATTTCCTCAGCTGGTAGGGTCTGGACCTTAAAGAGTGGTCTCTACATCCGGAGATGTTCCAGGACATTTGCCACAGATGGGAATGCTGGATGTGGACCTCCTGCCCTCCAGGTTCAGCAACAAGCTTTGTATCCATTGGTGGAAACAGTAGATGCCCTGGTGGCTCTGGAAACAGTACACCCTAATGTATGCCTTTTTCAGATCTAACACACAAACCTGGTAAGACTGTCCGTATTCTCTGTCCCAAGTGGCAATTTACTATCCTGCTTTTTTAGTTGCATGACTGTTGAAACGCAATTTCTAAGGGATAGGGACATCTCTGAATCTGTGATCTCTATGATGCTTAAAGCTAGAAGGTCCACTTCCCGCAAGGTCTATCAACGAATGTGGAAGGTCAAGTTCACTTGGTGTGAGTCCAGCATCTTCTCCATGGGATGATTTCTCTTCTTTTTTTAATTTTTTTTACTGCTGCTTCAGTGTATAGAACAATGGTCACCCCAAAATATGCCCTTTTCTGCCTTCATCTGGCCCTTGGGGCACTGTTTCTACTAGGGATGCATATACCGATACCAGTATCAGTTCCAATACAAAGTATTTTCATGAGTACTCGTGAAAATACTACTAGTACCTTAACTGATGTTTGTGGTATAATTTGCGTTAAAGAACGCAAGTTGCACTGCAAAGATCAGCATGCGATTTGAACAGGAATGCGATTCCTGTCCGAATTGCCTGCGGTTTCCCCACTGCTCCTGTGTGAACCAGGTTTGTCATAGCCCGGGTTCACAGTGTGGGAAACCTCCCTGCAGGCATCCCATGCTGAGTGTCAGTGGTAGGAGAGGAGAGAAAGCAGTGGGGATTTAAAATCCACGCCACTTTCTTTCCTCTTCTTGCAGCGATGACAGTTCAGGCTAGATGGCATCTGATTGGTGAGCAGCTGACTAATGACAAGCCTTGGTTCACAGTGTGGAAACGACATGTGAGTTGGACAGGAATCACATTCCTGTTCAAATCTCATGCTATTCTTTGCAGAGCAATTTGCGTCCATTAATGTGAATCACATTGCAAAGTATCAGTACTCGATATCGTCAAATACTTGACTGAAAGTATCGGTACTCGTACTCGCCGATAAAAAAAAACGGTATCGGTGCATCCCTAGTTCCTACCACTGATATGAGGCTCTCTTACTCCCACTGATATGAGGCAATATTCCTTCCACTGACACCGACAATGACAGCCACTGAAAACAACAATAGGGCACTATTCCTTCCACTGATACCAATGATGGGACACTATTCCTTAAACTGATACCAATGATGGGACACTATTCCTTAAACTGATACCAATGATGGGACACTAATCCTTCCACTGATACCAATGATGGGACACTATTCCTCCCACTGATACCAATGATGGGACACTATTCCTTCCACTGATACCAATGATGGGACACTATTCCTTAAACTGATACCAATGATGGGACACTATTCCTTAAACTGATACCAATGATGGGAAACTAATCCTTAAACTGATACCAATGATGGGACACTATTCCTTAAACTGATACCAATGATGGGACACTATTCCTTAAACTGATACCAATGATGGGACACTATTCCTTAAACTGATACCAATGATGGGACACTATTCTTCCAACTTATACCAACGATGGACCTTATTCCACTTCCTACTGACCAGAGTAGTCTGAGACATTGTCTACTCCCACTGACGCCGCGCCATTTTATACTCTCACTGGCCACATCCTGGCCCTTCTAAAGTCTGAGAGACAGTAATCTGGACCTTTGCCTATAAAGTTTGGAGACCTTTGGGATAGACCACAGAACATTATACTAACAATTCAACCAGCTTACCCATATTTAGCTTGCTTCAAGGCTGCCTTGGGGTGCAGGATCTGTGCGCTCTTGCACATCAGCAATCAATGTCTTTCAAAAAGGTGATCAGCACCTCCAATCTAACATAAAAAAAACAAACTTTATTTCTGGGAATAAAACCATTATAAACCGACAAAGTGATATCCTGCTCGAGCCAAACCACACATTTTCTGTAGATCTTTTTAGTTTATTAAAAAAAAAAAACTTGAACATACTTGAACATTGAAAGTGACGCAATTAGATTGGTCAGGCCAAGAAGAGACAGTTTAACGGAATGCCAGCTTATACTGTGATTTTTTTCAAACACAATGTTTGCCAAAATGACCAGTGAATTATATAAAGACAATGCACCTCCCACTGACCCCAGTTCTGCTGCAGTCTGGTATCAAAAATAGAATTTTGTAGGGTTCATAGTACCCCAAATGGGGCTAAACCAGTATTACATTCATCTAAAATTACTGTACATCTTTTTCTTCAACAGTCAAAACTGTATGTTTTGTAATGCCGATGTTCTCCAATGTTAAGTCTTTTCTCAGTTCAAAATAACATTTTGGAATTGGTGTGCAAATTGTGTAAAAAGCAGAGTGGTATCCAATTTTCGTCATCCAGTCCAGCAATACCTGCAAAATAAACACCACAGGAAAGTGTCATTGCAAGTTATGTCCATGTTTCTTACATTTACACAGTGAAAGATGACTGCTATATGAAAACTGAAAATTCCATATTCATGTCAAGGATCCCAGAGAAACACAGATGTTATTCTTGTGCTTTTTGCCAATGCCATGGATAGAATGTTTTTGAGAGACACCAGTTCCTTTCTCCTTTCCTATATGGGTTCTCTAAATAGAACTGTACAAGCATTTAACTTGCGGCTGTGTTTTCCTTGGTCATTCTTTAGGGGCAATATGTTTTCCTTAGTGACTTAAAGTGAAACTACATTGCATCTGAGCACCACAAACCAAAAATACTATATAATTAATTTTTTAATATTCAAAGCAAACACCCCCATCCATCCATGTCTCCATGCTTTATTTTGCTGAGAAATCGTTTTGAAAACACCCCTCAGAATTTCTGGCCATGGCCATCTTGAGCAAAGACAGAAGATTCATGTAGTAGTTACTTCCTGGAAACCATCTGCCCTTAGCTCAGGCATATGCTGAGCTGAGAAAACCCTCCCCCAACCCTGAGGACTTCTGGGATATATGACATCATTTGCCTAGGCATGGAAACCAGGAAGTAACTGAAGAAATGCAAAAAAAAAATTATAATACGGATGCACTGAAATTTTGGTGGCTGAAACGTTTCGGCCGAAAACCCCCCTTTTGGCCGTTGGGCAAAATGACAAAAAGCACCAATACAGGTGCTGAAAAAAAACCCCCAAACCCTCGTTGCTGCCCTCCCGCCGCTCAGTAGTTCTCAGCCTTACCTGAGAAACCATCGATCCCGGCGCTGGGCATAGAGATGAGTGAGAGAAAGATGGCCCTTGGAGGAACGGAGCCATGTCACTTCCCGTTCCGGCCATTTTGTTTTCTTTAAAGCACTAGATCAATGCTTTTTTTTTATCCAATTCTTTACATTGCAGAGGAGATATGTGGGGTCTTATTGACCCCATATCTCTTCATAAAGAGGACCTGTCACTAATTATTCCTATTACAAGTGATGCATGCATTGCTTGTGATAAGAATAAAAGTGATTACAATTTTTCAATGTATGATTTAAATTGGTTTCCATTTATCCAGTACAATTTATATTTGATGGTCACTGAATCTGTGATCCGAATGTTTGTTTATCTCTGCTTCATCTACAATAAAACTTTTTTGTAAAAAAAAAAAAAAAAAAGTGATTACAATTTTTTTAAAGGGATAGTGCAACCCCCCCCCCCCCCCCAAAAAAAACCCATTAAATAAATAAAAAAAAGTTTAAAGTGCCCGTCCCCCCACGTAGTGGTGAATGCATATGTAGGCCATGCCCACATATGTAAATGGTGTTCAAACCACACATGTGAGGTATCGCCACGAACGTCAGAGCAAGAGCAATAATTCTCACACTAGACCTTCTCTGTAACTTTACACTGCTAACTTATAGAAATTTTTAAAGCATCACCCATGGAGATTTTTAAATACCGCTGTTTGACGCCATTCCACAATCCTGTGCAATTTTAAAGCGTGACATGTTGGGTATCTATTTAATCGCTGTAACATCCTCTTTCATATTTTACAAAAAAAATTGGGGTATATATTGGGGTTTTTTTTTTTGTTGTTTTTTTTTTTAATCAAAGTATTTTTTTCAAAAAATATATATTCATTTTTAAAAACCGTTTCGGGTTCGGTTTTTGGCCAAGTGCATTTTGAAGTTTCTGTTTCAGCACCAGAATTTTCATTTCGGTGACCACTAGTTTAAAACAAGTAAATATGATATACTTTACTATCCGTTTACTAGAAATAGTCCATGTTGACTGAGAGAGCAAAGTTTCGGTTTAAGAATGTAACTATTGTATCTGATTCCCCAGCTCAATTCTGGCTTTGGATTGTTAATCTCCACGAATGAGTCAGATCTGTACATATCATTCACAAAGCATTGATGTAGAGACATAGAAGTGATGGCAGAAAAAAGACCAAGTGGTCCATCGAGTCTGCCCCTTTTTGTCTCCAAACATGTTTGAATCCACTTACTGTTGACTGACTCACAACTACTCTTTCTGTAAAATAATACTTCCTAATGTTAGTTTTGAGGTCATGTCCTATCTTCCTAAGTTTAACCAAATATTGAAATTGAACCTTATTCACACCTTCAACTTTATTTACACCATTAATGTATTTAAGGTTTTTAGTCACGTCTGCCTTTCCTGTCTTTCCTCCAAATTATATATATTAAGTTCCTGGAGTCTTTCCTGATATTTTATACCTTTCGCCTATTTTGCTGTCCATCTCTGGACTCGTTCTATCTTTTGTATTTCAAAATTTTTATTGATTTTTGTGTAATGTACAAAAGCTAGTACAAAAATGGTGACCCATTAAACAGTCAAACACTACATTATGCAAAAGACATATAGAAAGGTATAACAGGAAGAACATGTCCAGATGTAAAACAGACTGGAGGCAATAAACAGGGCAGTTCGATCACTACTAAGGAATACAGTTGTGCTCAAAAGTTTGCATACCTCAAAATTTTGGCATTTATATTGAAAATATGACTAATCATGCCAAAAAAACTTTCATTTTTCATTCCTTTTTCATTTAAAGTGTTACTAAATGCACAACTTTAAAATCAGTCTGTATATGCAGTAAAGCATGCTTGTTATACTCATTGTGGAACCGAAGGGTTAAATCCTCTGCATTGTGTAAAAATGCGGTTTGATCCTGACTTCTCTGATCCTCCCCATCTTCCAGTGTCACCCTCTTATCTCCTGATAAGGCATATCGTGTGGAGTACTCTGCACATGCTCAATTTGGTGTGTATTACTAGAGGTTTTTTTTTTTACCTAGGGAGAGTGCATGTGATCAACACAGGGCCAAACAGCATTGTCCAGACAGAGGTCAGGGGTTCTGCATCCTCCTAGATAAAAATGAAAACTCCTCCTACAAGCTTTAACATGTGCTCTGCTGGGCACTGATAGAAGTCAGAAGACTGCTGTAACTGCTGATAAGAAAAGGTATTTAGTAGTTTATATCTACTAAAATAACTGAACTTCCATGTTCTGTGTACTGTGGGAGACCAGATATAGTGGATGCAGGGTCCTGGGTTTAGTAACACTTTAAGGATAGTGATCATATGAAGCCATTTGCTATTACATAGTTGTAGATTTTTTTAAGGAGAACAATACAATTCTTGAACAAAAATTAGATGTATGGTTGAGTTGCCAGAAAGAAGCCTTTACAAAAAAGCCCAGTACAATATGCCTGACACACCTTGACACACCCTCACCAGGCTTTGTTGTGGCATTGGCACAGTAAAGGCTTCTTTCTGGCAACTCGACCATACAGCTCATTTTTGTTTACGTATTGTTGTATTGTGCTCCTTATAAATATCCACACCGTCTTTTTCCAGAGCAGTGGGTTTATCTGTGGGTTTTTCTTTGTATCCCGAACAATTCTTCTGGCAGCTGTGGCTGCAATCTTTCTTGGTCTACCTAACATTTGCTTGGTATCAAGAGATACCAGAACTTTCCACTTCTTAAAAGGTGGTTGAACAGTACTGACCGGTACATTCAAGGCTTTGGATATCTTTTTATATGCTTTTCTAACTTTATAAAGTTCCATTACCTTGTTACGCAGGTCTTTTGACAGTTTTTTTCTGCTCCTCATGGCTCAGTATTTAGCCTGCTCAGTGCATCTATGTGAAAGCTAACAATTGACTAATTATACACAGTCACTAAATGTTCAAACAATGGTGTAGCGCTCCCTTACTGAATAGATGATTTACTAAAAATAATATATAAATGAGTGTACCAAAAAATATTATTAAATTTATAAATCCTACCCTTGTGATTATGAATCTACAAATGCTCTATATAATTAACCTGAATATAAACAAGTGTATTAGTGACCTAAACAATATAATTATCCAATCCCATAAAACAGAAACAATATATCACATCAACCAGTGTCCAAAATAATATTTAAATAAATAGTTCTCCAATGTTAATATATGGATTTGTTCCAACACATAAGGCGGCTTCAGGATAATTGTTCCTCTATTATGCGCTTACCTCCTTATTTGCCTACTTATTATAGCCACGTGATCGATGGCGTAACGCGTAGGGGAGGGGCTCTGACATCATCACGCTTAGTCGGCCTGTCACGGCGAGTACGAGATTTGTGCTGAGCACACACAAAGTTTGATAAGGCGCTTTTTATTTGTTAAAGATGTGAGTGGGATTACTGGCTATGTTAATAAAGGTGTTTAAAGGATAAGGCACTATATTTTGCTTTTCTTTTGGTATCATGTATGTGGAGACTCAGAGGGGATACAAGGAGGAATAGACCCCTGGAGGTGAGAAGGGGAAATCCATCCATTCATCTTTATACCACCATAAGAAACCTTCCCAGATGGTTCCACACTGCAATTTGCTGATTATCCACCTGATATCTCTCCAGTGTGTGGTTTCTTATGGTGGTATAAAGATGAATGGATGGATGGATTTCCCCTTCTCACCTCCAGGGGTCTATTCCTCCTTGTATCCCCTCCGAGTCTCCACATACATGATACCAAAAGAAAAGCAAAAGATAGTGCCTTATCCTTTAAAGACCTTTATTAACAGAGCCAGTAATCCCACTCACATCTTTAACAAATAAAAAGCGCCTTATCAAACTTTGTGTGTGCTCAGCACAAATCTCGTACTCGCCGTGACAGGCCGACTAAGCGTGATGACGTCAGAGCCCCTCCCCTACGCGTTACGCCACCGATCACGTGGCTATAATAAGTAGACAAATAAGGAGGTAAGCGCATAATAGAGGAACAATTATCCTGAAGCCGCCTTATGTGTTGGAACAAATCCATATATTAACATTGGAGAACTATTTATTTAAATATTATTTTGGACACTGGTTGATGTGATATATTATTTCTGTTTTATGCGATTGGATAATTATATTGTTTCGGTCACTAATACACTTGTTTATATTCAGGTTAATTATATAGAGCATTTGTAGATTCATAATCACAAGGGTAGGATTTATAAATTTAATAATATTTTTTGGTACACTAATTTATATATTATTTTTAGTATATCATCTATTCAGTAAGGGAGTGCTGCACCATTGTTTGAACATTCAGAGTTAATAACACTATTTATGAGTTGGTGTAGGGTGCTAGCGAACATGTTTTTACATATATATTAATTATTTTTATTATATATATAATTAATTTTTTGAAGTAGATAACAAATTTTTTTGATTTTCACCATATTAGCTCACAAGTCATTTTGGCACTAATCGTTATACACAGACACTAACTGCAATTTAAATGCCACAGATGTGGGAAATTACCCTTTAAATGCCATTTTAACCCGTGTGTGTCACCTCATGCATCTGTACCAAGGTCAAACATTCCAGGGTATGTAAACTTTTGATCAGGGCTATTTGGGTGATTTCTGTTAACATTATGATTTAAAAAAGGAGCCAAACAGCTATGTGATATGACTTCATATGATCACTATACTTAAATAAAATACTTTTTTATTTTGACATGATCCGTCATATTTTCAATATAAATTTAAAAATTTCACGATTTCTGCCAGGGTATGCAAACTTTTGAGCCCAACTATATCTCTACATAGAGCAAAAATACCAATAGCATCCAAGGCACATATATATGGACAGGCAAGTGAAACTGAACTTCACAAGTGATGGACTTGTTCTATATTATTAATATCTTTTTGTAAGTGAGGTAAGGAGTGAATGAGGTCTAACTAAAGATCAGGGAATCAGGATCTCTTTCCTCCTGCAAAGTGACGCATCCTAGAATTCTTTTTGCTTTATCCACTGCCTGGTCACATTGTTTGATTTTGCAATCATCTAAGATAGGTACTCCCAAATCATTTTCCTCCATAGTGCTGGCCAACGCTGTACCCCCAATGTTGGATTTTGTCAAGGGATTTTTTTGCCCTAGGTGCATTATTTTACATTTAGAGACATTGAACAGTTTCAATGGACCAATTTTCCAGCAATGCCAAATCATGCATCCATGTTACAGACACCTCCAGCGATAGCAACCCTTATTGCACGCCTTTGTGTCTTCAGCAAAAAATGATGTACCTTAACCACCAAACCTTCAGTTATATCACTCACAAATGGATTAAACAGAATAGGACCGAGGACAGAGCCTTGTGGTACACCACTAGTGTGTATGTAGCTGCACATGTCTGTCAATGTCACTAAAGCAATACATAGCACTGTAGTAGCAGCCTCTGACTAATTATGGATAGGTTTCCTCTTTTATGGACAGCAATAAGTGTCAGCCAGGAAACTAGGTGAATAATATTGGTCTGAGGTTAGCTCAACTGACTGCACAAAGCACAACAAGAAAGTTAACCACTTGCCCTCTTGAGGATTTACCCCCCTTCCTGACCAGGCCATTTTTTGCAATACAGCGCTGCGTTACTTTAACTGCCAATTGTGCGGTCATGCACCGCTGCACCCAAATGAAATTTACATCTTTTTTTCCCACAAATAGGGCTTCCTTTTGATGGTATTTGATCACCTGTGTTTTTTTTTTACGCTATAAATATAAAAAGACCGACAATTTTGAGGAAAAAAAATATATATATTTTTTTGACTTTTTGCTATTAAACATGTCCAGTGAAAATTTAAAAAATCAAATTTCATCATAAATTCAGGCCAAAATGTATTCTGCTACATGTCTTTCCTATAAAAAAAAAAAAAAATCCCAATACATGTAAATTAATTGGTTTACGTGAAAGTTATAGTGTTTACAAATGGCGGTATATATACTGGAATTGTTTTTCTATTTTTACTAGTAATGGCAGCGATCAGCGACTTATAGCGGGACTGCGGAGGGCATTCTAACACTGGGGGGAACTGACTTGGTGTCACTGACATCCCCAATACAGTAACCAGTGCTAATAAAAAGCACTCACGCTGTACTAATGGCACTGGGCAGGAAGGGGTTAAAATCTGGAACGCTCAAAGGATTAACTGTGTGCTGTTTCACTTTGGGGGCTGTGTGTGTGCTTCACTGTAAGCACATTGCTTTTATTTTTATTCTATTTTTATTTCATGTTGCATGTTCTCCCTGTGCCTGCGTGGGTTTCCTCCGGGTACTCCGTTTTCCTCCCACACTCCAAAGACATGCTGGTAGGTGAATTGGATCCTGTCTAAATTGTCCCTAGTTTGTGTATGTATGAATGTGAGGACCTTAGATTGTACACTCCTTGAGGGTTAGGGACTGATGTGAATGTACAATATATATGTAAAGCGCTGCGTAAATTGACGGCGCTATAGAAGTACCTGAAATAAATAAATAAAACATTGCTTTGTATGGTTCTGCTATGCAGAGCCATACAAAGCAGTGTGCAGGAGTGGGCAGGGGAGAGATCTGTATTGTTTACATACAGGTCTCTCTCCCATCGGAGATACTCGGCAATCACCGGGTGTCGGTGAGTAATCACTGGCCGGGACCTGGTGATTGACAGCCAAGGCCGCGAATGACGGCGTGGGTAGGGTACTGAAAAATTATATAGTATATATATATATGTGATTTTGCGCACCCGTGCCGCCCTGTAGCACTATTTCTGCTGTAGGGCGGCGCAGAACTGGTTAACAATATATTTTCTGTAGTATCTTGACAAAGGATGAACTGACATGGAACACACAATATATCTCCACTTCCAGGGCTTTTTTTTCAGTGGGAACACAGGGGAATGAAGTTCAGGCACCTCCAGCACTGAAAGTATGTAATTGCAAGGAGTGATGGGGTGTGCTAGAGGGTTATTGGCTGCTGGGGGATCTGTTGTTTCTTGTAAGGGATCTATTTTTGCTGGAAGTGGGGTCAGTTGTTGCTGGGAGGTATCTACTGTTGAGGGAACGGTCTATTGTTTCTGGCTGCTGGGGGATCTATTTTAACAGTTGTGTCTACTGTTACTTGTAAGGGATCTATTATTGCTGGGGGTCAGTTGTTGCTGGGAGGGATCTACTGTTGAGAGAGGCGTCTATTGTTGCTGACTGCTGCGAGATACAGTATATTGTCGCTGTGGGGATCTATTGTTACTTGCGGGGGTGGCACTGTGTGGGTCTATTGTTACTGGGGGGTGTCTATTGTTGCCGGGGGGATCTATTATTGCTGTGGGGTCTTCTGTTGCTGACTGCAGGGGATCTATTTTATTGTTTTTTTATCAATACCAAATTCAATACAAATTACTTAGCACCACAAAATATTTGGTTCTGTATTCTCTAAAAGGGCTGTACTAGGAGGTGGGAACCAAGAGACGGTGCTCAGAGGTGGGTAGGATGCGGGGACAAGGGTTAACATGGAAGGGTTAACCTGTACCTGCTCTCTGAGAAAAAAAATCCTGTCCACTTCCATTTTCATGTCAAAATGTATTTCAAGTATATGTTCCATTCATTACTATTTGGCTAGTACCCACCTACAGAATGTGCTGCACCTCACCACCTTTTAGTTAATAGGACATGTGGTACAGTTATCTATCAAAGTACTTTAAAAAGGCAGTATACCCGTGTTTTCAAGACAATTGAGCTATGTCAAATCTCTATTCTTACATGGTCCTCCACCACTTTGCATAATGCATGAATAAAATCCATGTACAAACACAAAGGTATTCAGAAACGTGGGTCATTGTTACATGCGCATAGGTGTGAAAGGGCCCCAACATTGGTGTGAGAACATTTCGGAGGACCATAGTCCCTTTACAAACACAGTTTCCTTAAAGCCCCATTCACTTTGAGCAACCTGGGAGCATTGTGTTTTTCGCACATTTTTGGAGCAGCACCATTCACTTGAATTGGGCTGCCCTCCACTCCAAAAATGTGCCAAAGTAGCTCCTATACCCCTTTCTTTTTGAACCGTCTTTGGCACATTTTTGAATAGCACATTTATGCATGTTTTTCAGGTGTTTTATAATGCATTTCTGTAATGCCTCTGGGGTGCTATTAACTATGAAGGCCACCCAAACGTTGTGTGTTTTTGAGCATTTTTAGATTTTTCTGGAATCGTGGACAGAAACATGATTCTGTCCATGATTCTGCTAAGCTAAGATGTAAACAGGGCTTCATGACGTCATAGTATGCAGGTAGGGGGAGCCTTGGAAACATGAAAGAGGAGCCTAAAGCTCTACCTACAAGCTTGAAATGAACAAAAATTTATAATCTGCAATATTTCATAGTTGCTTGACATAAAATTTTATTTCTTTTTAGCCCTGACCCTACTTTGAAGAAATATATCCAAAGCCACTATAAATTCCCTTCAGTTGTAGCTAATAAATCAGGTATGGGATCTCAGATTCGTGCTATTTGATATTAGTAGCCAGACATATATGGATCAAAAACTATAGTAAACGTAACATTTGGGGTTCCCGTGTAATGGTACAGGTGTTAAGCCCTGAAAACAAAAAATCTATGTATCAGAGGTTTCTTGCAATACTTACAACAGAACTGTAAGACTTGTAAAACCGTCTTTTATAAACACGCCCACTAGGACACCGTAAAGCAATGGTGACCACCTTTAGGAAAGATGACATTACATTAATCTTAGCTAGAAAATTACAACTTTTTTTTTTACTTTCAAAATATTAAAAAATACCGTTTGAGTTAAAATTGAGAGTATGAGGACTGGAACAGTTATAACTGTAGGGTTGTGAAGCATTGCATTGTAACATTGGTGTAAGATATAAAAAGACAATTCTTATGATTATTATTATTATTAAGGATTTATATAGCGCCAACAGTTTGCGCAGCGCTTTATGAAATGAAGGTAGTCATTACAGTTACAATACAATTTGGTACAAAAGGAAACAGAGGGCCCTGCTCGTTAGAGCTTACAATCTAGGAGGAAGGGTTGAGTGATACAAAAGGTAATAGCTGTGGGGGGATGAGCTGATGGAGGAAATAAATGGTGGTTTACTAGGATAGACTTCTTTAAAGAGTAAGGTTTTCAGGGATCGTCTAAAGGTGGATAAATTAAGAGACAGCCGGACAAATGAGGGTAGGGACGTCCATAGGATGGGAGAGGCTCAGGAGAAGTCCTGGATGCGAGCATGGGAGGAGGTGACACGGGAACTAGAGAGCAGAAGGTCTTGGGAGGATCGAAGAGAGTGGTTTGGTTGATATTTTGAGACCAGGTTGGAGATGTAGCTGGGGGCAGAGTTGTGGATGGCTTTGTAATTTGTTGTTAGTATTTTGAATTTTATTATAATACAGCACAAGGCAGTGGCCAGCTGTGACTATTTCTATTCCTCTCAGGAGTATGGAGAGTCCAATGGAAACATGATTTATTTTATTAATTCATCCAAATATGAGCCATCAGGCTTATTGCACGGTTTTATTTTAATGTATAACCCAAGTAACCAATCAAAATTCATCTTCTCTCTGGTTGGATTCTAATAAATTGGATTCCAGTTGTCTGCTGTGGGTTCCTACTGTTTGCACAATATTAAGAGTGTTTCCCAGATCAGTCAGTGAATGTTAAACAGGCCTGTCAAAATTGTGATCATTTTTAGTTAGTTTTAATACTTGCAACAGGCCTTGGCATGTCTAAAAAGGCCAAGCAATTCTGTAAAAGTATACAGCCCAAACTGTTGTTTTTAGATTTTTATGTGGTGGATGCCTCACAGCGGCTCTCCACACACCGCTCCTGCAGATCTTCTAAGGGACACAACTACAGCAGCTCAGCTCTTGGGGGATTTTACTATCCACCCCTATGTCTACCTCAGTGTCTCGCAACCTTTTTTTTTTAGTGTAGGCACCCTTTAAACTTATGGACAATCACAAGGCATCCTCTAAAATTATGGACAGTCTCAAGGCACCCCATTCTAAAATGTAAAAAAAACTATTCTAATAGTTTTACATAATGCGTCAACATCCACACATGTAGAACACCCAACATTATAGGTGATTTATTCTTCCAAGTCAAATACACTTTTGCACACTGGTACTGACTAGTATTCCAATGTTTTTTCTTCTCCCTAAGTTTTTTTCCATCACTCACAGCTAATGTGATCCAAGCAGTGATGGAGAGGGGCAGGGGAGGCTCAAACAAAGATGCTGAGCAGGTGACCAACATCCTCATTACCAACTGATGATGTCATTGGTTGGTGGGATGCCGGGGGCTAGAAGGTCATAATACTGCACAATGAAAACCCTGTGGCTTTTGTGTAATTAAAAAGTAGGCTTGATCCACCTCTGGCTTGTGCACAATTTTGGGGCAATTTTTAGTCATTTTGCCAAGGCACTTCTAAAGAGACCTCAAGGCATCCTATTGAAAAAGGCCGGTCTACCTCCACAGCTTTGATCAGTGTGCTCTGCAGTATATTCTGGTGGAGTTGGGGGAATCTTCTTTCATTTTCATACTGCAGTTGCTGCTATTTTAGCATGTCTGGTGCTAAACATAGGGGTGGCCACCCTGTGGCTGTTGGTGAATCACTTAACCAGGACCCTGTTTGTACTCTGTGTAAGGCTGAACAAGCACAGAACTTTGCTTTCTGTACCTCCATCAGATCCCAGTCGGATCCACCTGTGTCAGCAGCCTCTTCCAGCACCCCTGGTAAACACCCAAGATACAGAGGAACAGTCAAATGGCAGGGCTGCAAACTGGAAGCACATAATGCCCACACCAAAACGCAGAAAAACTGGGTAGAAGTAGGTAAGCATGCTTGATGTCCACCAATGCTAGGAAGTCTCCCTGGTGAAGTGGGACAATGACAGATCTGGTGGATTCTATAGGGAACTTCTGATTGCAAAAAAAACATTTAGAGCTTTTAGATCAATGATGGGGTGGATGCACTCTTTTGGGTTGGGGTTTGTGAACAGGTTAGTGTAAAATCCCTGAAACAATTCTGCCTCCCGAACTGGGGCAAGTACATCCTTTTCCAAAAGACCTGCTAAGGCTGTGTGGAGATCTGCTAATCAATGTGATGAACCGGGCAGAGGACTGGAAATTAAACTAGCTTGTATCCCCAGTGAACCTTTTTCATATCCAAGCATCTAAAATTCTGGATGTCCAAGTGTCTGCAAAGGCTAAGAGATGTCCCACCTTTTTGGAAAGTAGGGCACACCTTCATGCAGAGAAAGGGATTGGAAGATTTGGAACTACAAATCCTACAACCGGACTGAGAAGCAGGATAATAAGTTTGGCTTGGAGTTTGAGGCCCTGGAGTAATGAAAAGCTTTTGTTACAAGGTGTGAGACTTTACAGACTGAGCATTATGCTTTTTTGGCTCAGGAAGATGAATACTGGTGCCATCCATCATAAGAGCATTCAGTGCAGCTCTGAAGAGATGTTGTCCCTTGAAGACCATGTGAATTGAGTACTTTTTTAAAATATTTTGTTTATTTAAGAATTGCAATGAAGCATATCATACAAGACAGTTACAATATTGGATGTAATAAATGCAATCTGTCTTAGACAAATATCCTCAAACAGATGTCAAAATTACAGTCACGTATTATCAAGCCAAAATACACATCAGCATTGTGTCAGAGTGACTCGTGACTTTGTAATAAAAAATCTTCATAAATTTCACAGTAGGTAAAGAAAATAACAAAGGGAACAAGAAACAGCTCAAATATCCATTTAAGAATACATAAAAAGAAAAAAGTAAATAAGCTTCCCTCTACTGGAATCAGAGTCAGCTCCGGTAAACACTTTACATTGTCTTAATAAGACTTGTTTAGAATAGTGGAGAAAGAGTGATAGGGAGTGGAAAGTTAGAGACAAACGTTTGAGATATAGGAATGGGGAAACAGAACAAAAGAATAGAAAGGGCACAGGGTAACCTGCAGTTACGGGCAGGGGAGACTGGCTCCTTGTGATGTTGGAGTCTCCCTGATTCCAAACTGGCAGGATGCTTTCAAGATACCCAGGATTAGGGAGATGTTAAAGTTGAAATGTAATCAACTAAATAAAGGCATTCCAGTAGAACAACCTATGGTTGAACACTTCTTTAACCATGGCCGAATGGCGGGCGGCAAATTTCATCAGCGTTCCGGGTGTTAATTTAGCAAAAAATAAAAACCCCAGCGGTGATTAAATACCACCAAACGAAAGCTCTAGTTGTGTGAAGAAAATGATAAAATTTTAGTTTGGGTACAATGTTGTATGACCGTGCAATTGTCATTCAAAGTGTGAGAGCGCTGAAACCTGAAAAATGGCCTGGGCAGGAAGGTGTAAAATTGCCTGGTATTGAAACGGTTATCATATCATAGCAGAAAGGTCCATCTTTCCTTTTAGGTCATTTATCCATGTAAACCACTGAGTGGGAGGTTCCCAGCAGCACTATAACGCCAGGATGCAGGCTTTAGTGGTGTTCACTAGATTACTTAACAGAGGACATTTATATATATATATAACATTCGTACGGTATAGTATTGTAGTGGATCAAGAAAAAGGCTGGGTCATGAGGGACAATAAAATTCGTAAATTTTAGACAGAAAATTGTATGAGTTTCTAGAATCCTGAAGGGGCAAGTAAGGGGTCTGTCTGCAGTGTTGATAATGAGGGCCACTGCATTTGATTACTAAAATGCATTAGTCTGGATTTACCAGCTTGAAGCAAAATTTGGAAGCTGGAGTCAGTCAACCTTGGCGTGAAGGAGGGATTTTTAATTACTGAGGTACAATGGCAATATCTTCGGATATTTGAAGGAGATATGAACTTTGTGAATAGAGCTAGAGATAGGCCCATGGTGGGGTGAGAATGATGCTTCGTGAGTTCCTTCTTTGGGCATCATGGCAGGATGTGCAGTGGAATCTGGGTATTGATTAGTTCTATCGGCACCTACTGTTTTATGTCAGCATGACAGCACCAGTCTATTATTCTGCCTACATGTACTCATTAAAGAGAACCTGGCGCCAAATCATCACATAGGGGACTTTTTGTCCATGTGATGGGAAAAAAAAGTTAAGTTAAAAAAAAATACAAATTTTTAATAGTAAAAAAAAAAAATCAAACTTGCACCCAAGCACATAACATCCCTTCAAAAAAAAAAATTTAAGGCCCCTCACCCTCACATACAAATGTAAAAGCACATGCTGGGGCACCTACGCATGAAAATGTTCATTGCGTTACATATTACAGTGCACGCCAGAATGAGAGCAATAATTCTAGCACCTACGAAGAACTCTTCCGTAACACTATACTGATGACCTATAAGGGGCTTTAAAAGTGTCGCCTATAGGAAATCTACGATATTGAAATGTGTCGCCATTTCACGAGCGCATGCAAATTAAAGGTGTGTCATGGATATCTATTTACTCGGTTGAACCTCATCTTTTATATTTTATCAAAACATAGCGTAACTTATTGCTTTTTTGTGCCCTAAAATTAATTTAAATGTATTTTTTACTGAAATTCTGCATCTACTAGACCTTTGCGGTAATATTGTGCGACATAAAAAATTGGAACAACCACTATTTTATTCTATAGGGTCTTTGCCTTCAGAAAATATATAATGTTTGGGAGTTTTGTGTAATCTTCAAGCCTAAAATGATTTTTTAAACATGAGAAAAAAAAAAAATTAAAACATTTCTTTAGTAGCAAAAGGGATAAAAGGATAAGCCTGACACTCCCCTTTCCTGACAAGCACCCAATTGGTGCTCATTACACTTCAAGGTCTCTCTCCTCCCTGCTAGTCCCTGGGTGCGGTGCTGGAGAGAGGCAGGGAGGTGAGATAAACGGCGCAATCTTAAAAAAATGTAAGTCGCCATAGAGACCCTTTTGATTTTAATAGTCCGAGACATTCCTAACAGCACCTCAGATTTAAATACGGTTTTGGTTAAAATTGATTTCTTTTTTTATCTGGACAAGTAGATTGGGAACCACAATTAGTCCCTGGGCAAGTAGTTTTTTCAAAAATTTCCACACCCCTGATATATATATATATTTTTATGTTGTATGTTTGCTTATCAAAGTACATATGAAAAGCGGTCAAAGCTAATTGCTTGCCATGCCTAACTGCACTTTGCATAGCCTTCATAGAGAAGTCATTTATTGTAGACTATCGATAAAACATTTCAACATGGTCTCAAGGTACAGCACAGAACATACCCCCACTTCTAGTTCATCAGGTTCTTCTGGTAAACAGATGACCTGTTAACAAAAAATAAGGTTACTGAACAGGAATACTTTTGTTTACACAAACACTTGTTGCATCATTTACACAAATAGCAAAATACATTACAATCATATTAAAAGAGAAGGAATTAAAAAAAAAAAACCCAAAAAAAAATCATACTCACCTAGGTGGATGTAGCATTGATCCATGCATCTATTCCCCACCAGCTCTTAGACCGAGAACTGAGCAATCAAACACCACTGATCACTCAGCTCTCGGTCTTCAGTCTGCAGAGAGCCGGTGACTGTCGGTCTCTGCTTTACCCCTCTGGCCCTCACTGGTTTGCTGGGCTGTGGAGGGGGCACTCTCAATAGCACTCTGAGAGACTGAGTCAGCTGCCTGTCCTGATATTTGCATGGATGCTGACTTTAAAGCAGGGATCTTTCTTGAGCCTGGACCGACTGAGTGACATGCAAAACATTGTAGGAATACAGAACGAACTGCACTCCTGTGACCCATAGCAAAAGTATAGCCAAAATAGCTTTGTCCATAGGTTCCCTTTAAAATAAGGACACCACAGAAAAATAATTATTGGCAGTTCGCATATAGAACATCTGGTATGCCTGTGCTACTTTATCTCCTGGGTCCTGCTTTAATAATCTGAATGAAGCCTCTTAAAGTTTATGTCAGGCCAAATGTTTATTTTTCTAGTTTTGTATAACGTTTGGAGGGACTGAAACCTCTGTTGGGGTTTTACTGCTATCCTAAGTTTTCAGGCATACGATACAGGCGAACCCCTGTACAAAGCTGTCCATGACACTGCCCCAAACTACATCACCGACCTGATATCCAAATACCACCCAAAACGTACTCTCCGCTCCTCACAAGAACTCCTACTCTCTAGTTCCCTGGTCTCCTCTCCAGGACTTCCCCCATCCTCTGGAACTCCCTACCCCAATCTATCAGACTATCACCTACTCTCCTCTCCTTTAGGCGCACCCTGAAAACCCACCTCTTCAGGGAAGCCTACCCCACCCTCAGCTAATTGCCGATCTCCTTTGTCGCAAACGTGTGCAACACAGTGAAGGACGCAGACTCCATTTTATTAAGAGTATCTATTTCTCCCTTATTCTCCTTCCCCCTCCCTTCCTGAGAGGCCCAGCCCAGCGACATGTGGCCAGTATGTGTGTGAGTTAGGAATGTCACAGGAGGGTCATAGGAGCTGTAAAAGCCCCCAAGAGAGTTGGAGTCTCTCTGTCCACAGAACCTGCCAATTGTAACACCTCCTAAGAGATAATGCAAGCTTTCTCAGGAGTTGAAAGAGATTCTAACCTCATAAAACCTAACTCTGTGTAGGTGACAGAATCAGATAACTTCTGGTAAATCCATTTTTCCCCTATGTCTCATATCTTGGAATATGAGAGACGTACATAAAAACTGGACACCTCCTCAGATGGCCAATGAGCAGACGAACAGTTTGATGGGTCACTCACCTTGTCTCGGACACTCAGGGAAGCAGAAACATAGATCTCGTGAACCGTGTAGTATATAATTTCATAATTGATATATAATTAATGCTCAGACTTGTCTGCATAATAATCTACCCTCGGGTGGACTGTCACTTGTGCAGATGAAAAGTTATAGGCAAATATGAGTTATGGGAGATTTTTGCTCTAGTTGAGGCATCCACCCATATTTCCATGCCCTAAGTGAAGATTGGCCCTTGACTGCAGAGCCACCCCCCTGATGGGGACTTTAAAACAGGCTGTCAGGCCTAGGTGAAAAGAAGTTGAAGACGTCTCCCATTTTAACATCAATACCACCTGGAGAGACCCGTGCCCTTTTGCTCTGAAACTTGCATCTGCTAACCCAGGACTTTGGCAAGTACTTTATCCCTTGCACCTCTCTCTGATATCTCTTTGCTGTGCTATGGTTCTTTGTATATGTATATATATCTTAGTTACATCTTTGTTCTGTAAATATTTTTATTGCTCCTGTTTGACCTTTTAGTAATAAATCTTTCTTTCTGAAAGTCTTGAACTGTTTCTATAGCTCTGTATTGCAACTCAAGAATTCCTGCCTCTAAAGAGACGCTACTGTGGTTGTTTAAACCTCTGTATAACTGGCCTGCGGACTGTTTTATACAGACGATTATCTCAATCATTATAGTGTTATAGCTGATAATGCCGAGTTTCCTCTTTCTCTGTACAAAAAGGAGGTGGTGGCAGTATGAAGGGTTAATTGCATAATTAACCTGACCCAGTAACAATTGCTCAGGCTGCTGGTACATCAATCTGTATCCATTAGCCTGAAAATCGTTGCGCAGGGTGCAGCTGGGTGTGGCATTGTTAAGCACGTCACATTGCGGTTTTAGCTCAGCTAGCCTTCGGTCACGAGTTTGGGTGAGGAGGTCTGGGGTCTGACGCCGCGATCGTGACATCCTCCACTCTTCCTACCACTCCATCCCCCACAGCTATTGCTCCCGTACCACTATCTCCTCCCTCCTAGATTGTAAGCTCCAAGGAGCAGGGCCCTCGAACCCCTCGTGTATCGCATTGTATTGTTATTTTAATGTCTCATGTACGGTCTCCCATTGTAATGTACAGCGCTGAGCAAACTGTTGGCGCTATATAAATACTGTATAATAATAATAATAATAACCCCATATAAAATGGCCGCCTGCATACTTCCTGGTAGTGGCGTAACGTCACTGGCTCCACTCAATGCGTTGCATCAATCACGGACTTCTTCATACCAGGAAGTGTGCTAGCAAGTCATATGTGAGCAAGCAACCTCCATATTATTTTATTGGAGGTTCTCCTGTATCCTATGACTGAAACTACAGTCCTCTGGTGTTTAGTGCACCTTTGAAGCTATGTATATAAAGTTTTTAAATAAAATATTGCAAACAGCAGCATTCGTATGTATTCTTCCTCTTTCAGTTTTACACTGCCCTGATCTAAAGCATTATGGAGGATGGAACTGGATTGTGAAGCATCTGGAGGCTGGAGTGGTGATCAGTGCTGTGGTTTATAAGAACCTCGGTTAAAGGAGAAGGTGCACATGACCTAATACATGTTAGGTCTAATCTCAAGGTGAGAGCATAAGCTTTATGGTGATGGGATATGTGCTTTGGATGAACTATATATTCTAAAATTCAAAATAAATAATCCGTATATTCACCGCGCAAGTGTGATGAGAAAATATATAAGACCTGACACCTGAAAAAGTGGACAATATATCACTCACCTACATAAATAAATAAGTACATAAAAGGAGTAAACATGTAGCTGCCCTAATAGTGAATAATCCAAGAATCATCTCATGAAACAATGACAAATAAAAGCAGTGGAAAAAAATAAAAGTGAAACACAATAGAAAAGTTGGAATATGATACATGACACTTGAATATGACAAATATTTAAAGCATTTGACATAAGTCCACCAAATGAAAAAATAAAATTGTGGTGAAGTGCAAAATCCTTATTGATCCACCGAGATCACTATGTGAACAACATAACAATAATTGATTGAATAAAGTGCACTCAGATATCACCAAATGCTCCAGAGCATATTAACCACTTCCAGTCTGGACACTTTTACCCCCTTCTTGTCCAGGCCAATTTTCAGCTTTCAGCGCTATCACACTTTGAATGACAATTGCACGGTCATACAACACTGTACCCATATGAATGTTTTAGCATTTTTTAAGATAGATAAAGCTTTATTTTGGTGGTATTTATTCACCACTGGGATTTGTATTTTTGTTGCTATGTAAATGAAAAAGTCAAAAAATTTTGAAAAAGTGTTTTTCTTATAAAATTTTGCAAATAAATAATATTTTTTATCATAAATCTTGGCCAAAATTTAAAAAAAAACCCAAATTAGTTTATAACCAAAAATTATAAATTTTAACTTTTTTTACATTTTTATTTAATTTTTTTAATATTATTTTTTGTTGTTTTTTTTTTTACATACTGTCACCCTAGCAGTACAGTGTCACCATGGTGACACTGTACTACTTGTGGGGGGTGATGATGAAGATTTTTTTTTTTTTTTTTTTTACACTGATTGCTTTTACACCCATAAAGGCTGTAAAAGCAATCATTTCTCCATCTCTCTGGCTGCATTCTTGCAGCCATTGAGAACTACTGTGTGAGCTGTGATTGGTCACAGCTTGTCACGTGGTACAAGGCTGTTGTGTGAATAGCCTTGTATCATGTGACCTCTGTGATCATTCACAGATTTCACACGTAGTAAGCAATGATGTCAGAAGTGACATATTGCTTACTACTCTGCATGTGATTACTGTTTGACCAATCAGTGATCACATGATTGGGACCTCGCAGAGAGGTCCCATATGACGATCAGTGTTCCACTGTGTCCAGAGGACACAGCAGGCACCGGATCACGGTGCTGCGTGCTCCCAGGGAGCGTGCACAAGCAGGGGTCGGGGAGGCCGTTCATAAATGGCCACCCGACCCTGCACTGCCACCATCCTGCCATTTATATACAACGACCAGACCGGAGGTGGTTAAATATTTGTGTAAATTTTCTGAAGTGTTATATTTTGTATCATATTCCCACTTTGCTATTGTGTTTCACTTTTTTTTTGTGCTGCTTTTATTTGTCATTTTATATTATAAAACACTGGTGAAAACAGGAACATTTTGGAATAAGGAGATTGAAGTCTTTTGTATGCACTTCGGAAACACATGTAAATAAGAACACTGTAGGAATGGACTGGCCAGCAATAGTGGGACTCAGCTGCCTTATGAGCTGCAGTACCAGGGCTGGCCAGCGGGTGCTCCCAGCAATCAGAGACTCAACCTTGCAGCCAGTCAAAACACCTGAACTAATTATACTGATGTATTTAAGGGACATTCAGACTGCAGACTCTGCCTTGGTGTTGTGTTTCTCTTGGGCCCTGTATCCTGTTCCTGCTCTCTGTTCCTGTCTGATTCTCTGCTGACCCTGCTCTGATCCCTGGCTTGTCTGACCATTCTCCTCTGCCTGACCCTCTGTACCACGCTGC